CTCCGCCCCCTGCCCAGCCCCGCCCCCCTGCCCCAGCCCCGCCCTCCTGCCCCAGCTGTCTGAGGGTGGGGCTCTCCCCTGCTCTGGGAGGGGCGGTGGAAGAGAAGGAGGCGGAAGCGGAGACCTCTCCAGTCCGTCCTGGAGCCAGTAGGGAAGCGGCTGTTGTGGCAAAGCCCAGCGGAAGAAAGGCCAGAGGTAACTCTGGTAGAAGGGGCCTACAAACCAAGAGGCCTGCACTGGTGGGGGTTCCAGGACTGGGGTTTGGGCAGCCGGCCAGCAGCCTGGTTCTGCTGCCCATGAGCCATGTGGTCTTGGTCCCCTCCCTGTCCTCAGCTTGGGGACAAGGACACAGGTGTCCCTATCTGACAAGCACATCCTCTCTGAATGCTTGGGGAGCACCTAGTCACTGTGGCAGAGCTGAGAGGCGCCGGGAAGGCCTGTGTGTGTGCATTCAAAATCTAGACAAGACTTGAGTGAAAAATGAGATTTATAAGCAAAATAGACGTAGCTAAGAATCACTGATTTGAGAATATTAGAAACATATGTAAGTCTTCATACTGTTCTGACCATTTCAAATGGAGAGACCGCCACTTTTGGTCTCCAGTTCTGGACCTGGGACCCGGGGAGAGGCTGGGGTCAGACCCGCCACCCAGAAAATGATCGGAAGCAGCAGAATCTCTTTCCACGCTGAAGACTTGCACGCAGCCCCAGCGTATGAACAGGCGAGGCAGCACTGGGCCCAGAGCCGCGGGCTCGGTCCCTGTCTCTCCGAGTCACCTGGGCAGGGCCTCAGGCCTGGATTTGCTGGGTCGGGGAGAACAGCAGGGAACGGACCATCTCAGTGGTTCGTCCGCTCAGACTGCTGGGCTGTGTCCCCTGTGGTGTCTCTGTGCGGCCTGGTGGCCCCGGGAATGCTTGCCTTTACCTCTGGTCACTGATAGGGAGTGAGGGTGCCAGGGGTCATGGGAAACCCAGGGGCAGGACCACCAACCTTCTGGCACTTTCCAAGACAAGGTTGGGAGGCTAACTGTGCCATGGCCAAAATTTAGAAGGCAGAGGCACTCAGGGGCTGCTGGGTAGCAGGGCTCTTGTGGCCACAGCCTCATTTGTCCCTGAGCGCCGACTGGGGGCGGGAGGTTGCCAGGAATGAGCACGTATGCCTTCCTCCTGAGGGACCTTCCTCCGGGCTGCTCCCGGGCTGCTGAGTGCTGTCTCCGTGGCCGACTGACCGTGTCATCATTCAGCTGACCTGCCCTGCACCCTCCAGCCCCGGAAACCATGGGCTCACGGACCCTGGCTCAGCGTGCTGCAGTCCCTTGAAGACACCGGGCTTGCATTCCAGAGACGAGGAGCCACCGAGGGATAGCAGCCAGGTCAGTGGGATACATGTCAACCCTTAAATTCATTTTTGACGCTGGAGGCGCATGGATGCCTCCAGGAGCACACGTTCCCACGGGATGTCGGAAAGCCCCAGGTGGGCAGTGGCAATCCACACGGGGACAAAAGGACCAGCGAGGGGTGAGACGAATGTGTGCACAGGGGCCTGTATCTGCTCCGGATGTGCGGGGCTGCTGGGAAGCTCGGGTCTGGGGGCGCCCAGCGCCTGGCCCTTGTCCCTGCACTGGCTCCCGCTGCTGGGCCCCATTTCCAGCGTGTGAGGGCTCGGCCCCTCGAGCAGACACACGGGAAAGCTGTGTTTCCACCGCAGGGCCGGCCGGGCACGGAGGTGGGCAGGAAGGAGGCCTTCCAGCGGGACACGAGTGCGTTTTGTCAGAATGGGGCCCGGCTGGCTGCGGCTCACCGCCCAGGGCAGGTGGGGGGTTCTGAGTCCTCGGGATTACGAGCGCGAGCTGGGTCGATCAGTGTTCAGGCTTCCACCCGTGGGAGCAGAATACAAGTCCGGGAAGGTGCTTTCATCGGACCCAGTGAAACAAGTCACTGCAGGTGTGCGGGCTCACGGGGGCCCCTGTGGCCCTAGAGTCCTCCTGGGGCCCTCACCTGCTTCGGGCCTCTGACCTGGGGCCGGGCACGGCCCTGCATGCGGATTGGTGCTAAGGACAACGCCCAGCTGGTAACCAGAGCGAGCCCTGGCGAGGCTGCCGTGGGCCAGCAGGCTGGCGTGGAAACGGCTCAACAGAACAGTCGCGCCGGAGAGAGGACGCCCCCGCTTTGCGCTTCTTTCCCACTCAGGGCACCCGTGGGGTCCCCCTGGGCGCTCCAGTGGGGACACAGCCTCCCTGGAGGTGCGATGCCGCCACAGACGGAGCCAGCCCGCTGCACGGCAGAGCTGTGACCCCTACCCGATGTGCCACAGGCCCGCTCTGTGGGCGGCCAGGAGGGGTCCGCAGGGGGAGGGCGTGCAGCCCTGGCTTCCTCCAGGACGGACGTGCCTCGCCTCAGCTGTGACGGCAGCACCCACGTGCGCTCCCAGAGAGGAGGCAGGGCGCCTGGGGTGCCGCGTGGACTCGGGGACGGGACTCGGAGCTGCCGCGGACGGGCCATTGGCCTCGGCTCAGCCAGTCATGTGTAACGGGACAGTGATGACACTTACCCCGTGGACCACTGTGCGTGCAGTGGGACTATACACCACGGCCCCTGCGGCCAGGTATCCAGTAGGTGCTCAATAATGGCTGCTCCTTCCTTCCTTCCTTCCTTCCTTCCTTCCTTCCTGACACTGGGCACCTGGGCCTAGGACCCCATGAACGGGCAGCCTTCCTCCCTCCCTCCCTCCCTCCCTCCTTGCACTGGGTACCTGGGCCTGAGACCCCACGAACGGGCGGCCTTCCATAAGACCCTGGGGCCAGGCTGCTCCTTTCCGGGAATTATGCTGTCTCCCTAGGTAACACAGTGACCACAGGACATTAGGGCCTGCCGTGTCTCGGGAGGAAAGCAGCTCATGTGCAGGAACGGGAGACCCTCCGGGCAGGACTGCTCGCAAAGGGCATTTCACTCAAGTGTGTGTTGGGGCAGGAAGCAGGGGGCTGGCGGTCACTGTGCACCAAGGGTTCAGCCACCAAAACAGCCCACATCAGCAATCAGGACATGGGATGAAAATGGGGTGGCATATAGGGGAAGGGGAGCACATGACCTCGGCCCGAGCACTGGAGCGTCCCCGGAGCCCCAAGGCTGAGTGCTGGCCTGTCCCTAGGCCCAAGAGCTGGCACGTCCCCGGGTCCCCGGGTCCCCGGGTCCCCGGCCCGAGCGCACACGGTGGCTAAAATTGAGGGCTTCAAAAACTGTTACCTGAGTCCTGAGTTTGATCATATCGGCTTCCATCTGGGAGTTGGACTCGTTGAGCTCCTTGATCTCTTCATCCAACTGCTTGATTTCTTCATCGTTTTCTATGCCTGTAAGGACAGAACTGCGTTCAAGCATCGTGCGTGTAGACACAGCCACCGTTTTGAGTTTTCTGTGCTCTTTTTATGTTTGGAACTGGGTTTTCTGGAAGAAGAGACTCTTGGGTTTATAGAATAGCCCAGTTTGCATGTTCTTCCAGCCCTACAACCGAGGCACACAGACCCCTCTCCACCGTGAGGGGGCCCCTCGGGGACAACCGCCCAGGGCCCCGCTGCCCCGTCTCTGTCCTGGAGGTGGGCTCACCCCCCTCAGCCCATTTTCAGTCTCTCCCTTGTCACACCATGGACACATCCAAAAACGAGACCAACGGCGTCCCTGCCCTCGCCAGGCCCCGCAGAGCCGCTGACATGTGACCACACCTGCGGCCCGAGTGTCCGGGGCCCCCTCCCGCCAAGACTCGTGGCGGCTGAGGGGGACTGCGGGGGTCGTCCCCAAAGGGCTCTCTGCACACGGGCCACGTAACTGACACAAACAAGAAAATGCTAGAAAGCATGCATCTGCTGCTGGGACTGCTGCGGCTGCGGGGCGATGGGGAGTATAGGCTGCACCAGCCCCCCGCCCCGCCCTGGGTGCCCTGGGACCGACCGCCAGCTCTGGCCTCATGGGGCGCCGGGGCCAAGTTTCTAGCTCAGTTGGCTGCTTGCTGGCAGTGGAAGGCGCCAGGGCGGAAAGATCCAGACCCTTTTTCATTCTGGCCTGTGGGTCTTTTAAGGCTGAATGTAGTCAAGGGAAGAATGGTAGGAGTCCCACAGAGACTCTCACCCTTGACAGCCCAGGACTCGGGTTGCCATCCCATGGTCACATAGCTCAGCAGTGGAGGCTGACTTAACGCTCGGACAAGGTGCGCAGCCCAGGCCTCGGGGCCAGAACAGACGCCCTTCTCCAGTCTGCAGACAGAAGGGGGGGCGGCCACCTGGGAGGGAAGGCCCGGGACACCTGGGGCCCTGGCCCACCCGGCCTCCCCACCAACGCGTCCGAAAGACAAAGACAGAGCGGTGGGATCCACGGTGTTGGGTCTCAGTTGTCGATTTTAGTGGAAATGGAAAAGAAAATGGACATCGGAACAGTAGGCGATCTTCTTGAGGTGAACCACACGCGCACATCTTGGGGGAGATGCGGCCTTTCCTCTGTACAGCAGAGAGAACACGCGTGTTCGGCTTGATTTCTGGGTCCACCACCCTTCCTTTCCAGTCTCCTCCACAGACCCACCCCGGGGGCTAAATTGCAAACAAGCAGATCTTGAACCTGCGGAGCTCCCCCTGCCCCCCCCCCCCCCCCCCCCCCCCGGAGGGACCAGCTGTGGCCCGCTGACCCCACGAGGCTGGGTCTCATGGCCCTGGCTCCACCATAGAGGCCTCAGCATGTGTCCCCAGCCATGTCTTACAGGGTCCGGAACGTCACCAGCGAAGCCTCCCTGCTCGCCATCCCACGTATCTCCCAAAGCTGTTCACGGGTCCAAGAGGAAATCCTTCCAGCGATTTGAGCTGTTACATTTCCCCCCTTGTTTATCTGTGACCAGACTTCCTTGGCAACTCTCTCAGCCGGGGTAGGCTGATTGAGTCACCGCATGTGGTCCTGAGCACACAGGAGGGCTCAGCCCAGGGGTGGCTGATGACATTATTGTTTCTGGGGACGTTCGGATGCGCCTGGAGATAAGAACACGGGTGCGTAAGAATCCTGATTTGTAAAGCAGCTAGACTGTGAAGCAGTCTATCCGCTAACACGGATTGGCCACGCCAGCAGCCCAGGCGCGTGGAGAACATCTGTCACACAAACGGACCTGGGGACCCGTGAACCGACGGCCCTTCCAGCCTGTGTCTGAGCTGGTGCATTTCCAAAATGAATTTCGGTTCAGGTTTCTGAGCAAGTGCTTCGTGTGATACCTTCTGCGGTTTTTTAGGTCTGAACAAACTTAAAACTTGGCTTTTTCGGGCTGTATGTCATGTTTCTGTGGATCCAAACACTGCATCAGCGTGAGTGTGGTCTCGTTTCTAAGAGGCACAGGGAACCTTCCTGTTTTGTGCCGACCCCTGAGGGACCCCTGAGGTCTGTCTCATCCAGATTCAGGTGACTTCTGAAAGACACCACTATTCACGGCGAAGCCTTCTCTCTGGTGCTCGCAGGGAAGGGGGCGTCTCCCCGAGTCCCTCTGGTAATAGCTCTCCATCCTGTGTGCACCGTGCAAAGGAAGAGCCATCAGCGAACAAAACAACTGGTTTCTCTTACACGTCAAATGAAAGGTCTAGGTTTTTATTTGTGTGTGGTGGCTAAAAGTGTGGAAGGCTAGACCTGACCGTGTTTCGCGGTGGAGCCTGTGCGGGAAGGCTGGTGTAGCTCTTCTTGGGGACCCGTCCTGCGTGGACCCTCAGAACTGTTTGGTCACGACGTCTGACTCTGGATAATTCTTGATAAGAAAAGGATGCTCTGCGCACCTGCCTGTTCCCAGCGTCAGTGTGGCACGTTTCCGCTGATGGTGTCGGAGTGGAATTGTGACTGAAACAACTCATCTGAGGTCAGGCGGGTTGAAGATGACCGCGCTGTCACAACGCCCAGAGGACTGTGGGGAAAATCGCACTGGCTTGTTGGAGGCGATGTCAGCAGTAGCCAAAATAAGCTGAAGTTCGTAAAACCCCCGACGTGTCGACATCTTTCTCGTGGGGCTGCCTTCTAGCAAATGAAAGCTTAGAACGGTTTTGAGGAAGCTCTGAGAAGAGAACGTGGTCTCTGGAAAACGGGTGACATCTTGGGGGCCCTTTTACTGGTTTGAGTTTTTACAAAAGAGTGTCCAGCATTTCTTACTTTCTACTTAACTTTCCTGGGACAGCCGCAGAGACCACACGACCTGAGATATTTCCCGGACACTGGACGCATTTCTGACCCGCCCCGCTGAGGGGTTTGAGAAGCCACGGCTGTAGAGCCTGGAATTTGAAACGTGACAAACCCGGGACCTAAATCCGTATCTTCCCACGGAAGAGTTTGGTGATGAGTAATTTTCGTAGTCCTAAACTTCAAACTCCTCCATTGCAAAAATGGTCCCTCTCTGACACAGTGGTTGTTAAGAGATGAATTAATCTATAAAAGACGCGGGAGTCAGACTCGAGCGGCGGGGGCTAAAGGAAGCGGCTGGATAGCAAGTGTTCCTTGAGAAGCCAGCGTGGGTCTCCGTGGTCACCTGTCTTCAGTGAAAAGTGACAGAGACTGTTTTTTCCTGCTGACCTTGCTGCAGGCTGACAAATAACTGAAGGGAAAAGGAAGAGTGAAAATACTGTATGTGGCCTAGCACGGTGGGCTTCCAGTTCTGCCGAACTGAAAAATTAAAAACAAAAATTCCTTTTTATAAGTCTTAACTTGGTCCTCTAAATGTTTTATTGTAAGTTCAGTTTCCAAAGATACGTATTTTCAAAATTGTATGCTGTGGAGTGCTTTAAATAATGTCCATCACAGCCTTGGACCAAAGAGTTTAGTCCATAAGATTTACGAGCGACTTGCACTGCACGGACCAAGCGGCAACTCAGGCGTCATCACCAGAGCGGCCTGCGGGTCAGACCCACTTTCTGACAGAAGTCATATCATTTCACGTCCAGTAAAAATACAGCAGGGGCCCTGTGCTGACCTTCCCATCTCTGAGTTTTCTTCTAGGAGCGCAGGATTCACGGACGGATGACCGTTGGTTTGTCTGTGAAACAGGGTGCCTGCCGCATCTGTCCTGTGCGCTTGGCCGGCCCCCCGCGTGCCCGGGCGGTTCCCAGCATCCCGGCCGCCCCTATAGCGGACATTCACCTGTGAGGGTGGCAGGGACAGAGTGGGGGGAAGGTGGACGGGATCTCAGTCCCTTGGGCTCAGGAGAGAGTCCAGAGAATTCCAGCGTCTGGAAACAAATTTCCTCGAGCTCTCCCCATACGCCTGCCCCTAGGACACCCCCGAGGCCCCAGGTCATGGTGCGGTGCCCGCTTCTGGAGACGGGAGAGAGCGACTGGGGTGCAGCGCGCTTGTCCGTATCTCAGGGCAGTGGCACTTCTGCTGGGTCCTCGCCTGCAGGGAGGCTGAGCTTAAGCGTGTCAGCGCCTGCAGCGGGCAGCGGGGACAGAGGCCCGCCCCCGGCCTCCGTGTTCGATAGATGTCACAGCCCCTTCCCGCAGCCTGACTTCTGTGACAATCCAGGGAGGAAGAAGGAGGGCTGCCTCATTTCCTTCTGTCCTTGGCAAGACGCGGACAAAGATCCAACAACAACAACAAAAGAGCAAAAACAAAGGCGGGGACAGCTGGGCTGGCAGCGGGGTGGGGTGGGGGGGTGGGGAGCTGCCTGCTGAGGGGGCAGAGGGGGCTCTGCAGAAGGGTCTGAGCAGAGGCCACACCTCCTGCTGCTTTGAGAGCCGTTCTGGGGGATAAAGAAATCATGGCGACCTTTAAGTTTGAAGAATAAGGAGAAGGGCGGAGGGGGAGGAAGAAGAGGAAGGAAGGAAGGAAGGGGGGGGCAGGGTCCCAGATTTCAGCGCCAGAAGGGAGCTTCAAGGACACTCAGAAGAGCTCCTTTTTATTCAGGTGAACACTTGACGGAAGGTGCTGGAATCCCAACACAGGAGTAGCTCAGCCAACTGAACAGTGGTCTCCTTGAGGCCTGCGCGCTCACGGAAGAGCCGGGCGTGGAGGGAGGGAAGCTTCTGGCCACGTTACCCGCGAAGGTGTTAGAGCATTGTCAGGCCAGGTTGCACTCAAGATATTCGAGAAAAGAGACAGAGACAGACTGTTTTCCACATCTCAGCGGGGGCAACGCCGCAACCAGATCTCTGCACGTGGCAGGACGGGGGTGATCCTTGTGGAAAACGGTGTGTTCTGGCCGGTCCCCGGGAGCGGCAGCACGTTTCCCCCGTGCTTGCCCGGGGGTCCGCGGCTCAGGGTGATGCCCAACCATCCTCGCCTCACGACACAGCCTCTGCACCGAGAGGAGTGTCCCCAGGGGTCACTAAGAAGTGACTCTGGTCCTGGCATGAAGAATGTCCAGACAGATGAGAAACTCGGGCTCAGGAGGACCCGGGTCGGTCCAGCTCCCACCTCTCATGGCTGCGTGACCCGAGCCGCCGCACCCTGGTGAGAGCGTGACAGAATGCGTCCCTGCACCCGGATCCCGCCTGCCTCCCTCTGCATGGCCCCTCCTCGGGTCTGTTTTCTGTCCTTTCCTTCTCTGCACTGACCCCCAGCCTGCTGCCGCTTCTGTCACCGAAGAGTGTGGACCGTCACAGGCCCGACCCACCGGCGGGGGGCGGCTGCTTGATCCCCAGGGCGTCTGGTGAAAGGTCACGCTGAGTGTTTCCGGAAGGGTGGCGGTGGTGGTTTCTTCCCGGCGGCCGGCACTGCTGTTCACGGCCGAGAGGTGTGACGGCAGCGGGCCTGGCACCTCCCGACGGCTTCCCCACGCGGCCTCGGGCCTGCGGGTGACGGTGCGGTTCCCGAAGCTCCGGGAGGCGGCGCTCCACGCGCTCGAGCTCCGTGCCTGTGGCCCCGAGCGTGTGTCCCACAGAAGCGGGGAGGCCAGAGCCCGAGCCTTCCAGACGCACGCATCGTGACCCTGGCCGTCTTCCCGGCAGTGATGGCCGCATGTTAAGGACCGCGTGGTGCAGGAGGCTCGAGGACGCCCCGGAGCTGCTGTCGGGACCTGGAATGAGTGGTCGGGTGGCCGTGACCGTGACCGGCGGAGGCCTCGGGGCCCTGGCCCGGCCGGCCTTCCTGCGGGGGAGGCGGCCTCAGGCAGACCCCAGCAGAGGGGGCCAGGTCCCCGGGGCTGCAGCTCCAGGGACGGGCCCAGGGACTGGGCTCATGTGGGCCCATGTCTTGCACTGCTGGCCGCTGCTCCCGGGGGCCCAACCTGATGGCGGTGCCTGCCCGGGACCCCTGCTTTGCCAGCCTCGGGGTCGGCCCTGCCCCGGCGCCCTCCTCGCAGCGTCCTCTGAGGAGGGGCCCTGCCCCCGCTCTCCGAAGTGGCAGTTTGCCGAGTGGTTGCAAATCCCGGGCGCCGTAATCCCTCGAGTGGTGTTCTACCAAGTCCCGCCAACACCGAGTCAGCCGTCCCAGGGCAGGCGCAGGTCGGAGGCTGCGAGCCCTGCTTACGTCCCAGCAACCGTCGGGCTGGAGGCTCCTTCTATGCGTGTTTCTGCTGAAAGACACCTGGATGCTCGTTGTTGGTTCGTTAGCGCTGACCTCACGGCCACCACCGGCACAGGACAGGCGTGGGCGGGGCTCACGTAACACACGCGTCACTCGCGGCACCGCGCCTTCCCAACAGAACTCCCCCCGCCAAAGGCTCAACAACTCCGAAAATGCCCCTCTAAAAAGACTGTGAAAAGGAGCCCATTTGCAGCATGAGCGCGGTCTTGTCCCCTCAGCCTGCAGAGCCACACTTCTCCCGCCACATCCCCAGGGGCCACACACGCACCGCGATTTGCAACTCTGCATGAACTCGTGAATGAAGGAGGAAGCTGTGAATACTGGAGAGGCCGGGCTGCTTCCTCGCCCTCCCTCCCGTGGCACCCCTGTACTCCCGGCTCTGGCACCCAGAGGTCCTTGCAGGTGGACAGTGGGCCAGCTGGGAAGCTCAGCGTGGAGGGGGTAGGAGGGCGGCTGTCCCCAACCCGGCCGCTCCAGGAGGGCCTGGGGCAGAGGCACAACGGGGGCAAACTGCTGGGACTGCTGGGGACACTCCCCCTGACCCCAGACGGATGGACTGGCCTCTTAGATGCGGCCGGAACTATCCCGCCCCGGCAGAGATGCTGCGACTGTCTCAGGCTGTGGTTACGCCAGAGGACAGAGCGGGGCCGCAGCTCCTGCCCCCCGGGCAGCCCGTGGGGTGGTTACCGTTGCTGGCCCGCTGTCGGATGGTCAGCATCTGCTCTCCTGACAGCTTCGCCTTCTTCATGGCTGACGTGGCTCGCGGGCATCCCGACAAGCTGGGGACAAGACACGGGTGGCATTAGTCACGGGCCTCCGAGACCCCCAAAGCCCTGCAGAGAGAACAGTCGTGAGCCACGAGGGAGGCGTGTCGCCGAGTCATTTCGTCAGACTGGTTGCCGGCCACAGGCTTTTTGCGAATGGGAAACAAGCCAGAGCAATGGATTCCGCGTGGCCCAGTCCCCACGCACGAGGGGGCCTGTGTCTGCCTGTGGATTCGGGGACGGTTCTGCACGGGACCCCGGGCCAGGTCGCCGCTCGCCCCCTTCACCGTGTGCCTTCTGGGGCCGCGTGGCTGTCTATGGAGCAACTGGCTTTGGAAAACTTCCTTATTACAGAAGGTGTCAAACCTACAGGAGGCCTGAATTAAGATCTGATTTTAAACGTACGAAAGCGGAAAGATCCGATAACGAGCTCACCCCCACATTCACCGTTCCGTCTCACGGCACATCGGGTCCTCCTGCACCCGTCCTGCCTCCAGTAGACTACTGGGGGCGATCGCAGTTGTGAAAATGGAGCCCCGATATCATGATCTCACTGGAATGTTTAAAACCCCTTTGCCACTGACATCAAATGTGTGGCCTCTTTGCAAACTTCCCATCTGCCCCCTGACGTTGCTAACACTCTGTCCCCTCCGGGTGCATGTGCAGAACCGGGAATCTGGTCCCTGTGTCTGTCTGACGACCGTCCTCCCAGGCGGCTCCCCTCCCTCCGTCTCTTTCTCACTATGTAAGCATTGAGGACGATTGCATCCGACACGTTCTGTGGCCCCGAGCCTGGGCCTCCCCACCCCTGCCCCTTGGGGGCTCACTCTTACCCGCCACCGTCCGGAGGGACCGACACTGGGGGCCCCCGCACTTGTGGTTCCCCTGGCACTTTGTGTGTGGATGAAATGAAAACTGTACGTGTGTATACAACTGTATGTCCAATATCACATATATATTACATCACGTATGTATAATGTTGTATTGCACCCATAATTCAGGGCCAGATGGACCACAGCCTAGCGATGCTGTGAGGGCTTTACCTGTATCTGTGTCCATCCAACACCCGGTGACAGCGTGGCTTACGTGGTTATTAGTAATACCATGTAATGTCTGTGTTCGTGTCGGAGGCTTTCTAAGTGTCTTCACACACTTTTCTCACACGTTTTCTGATGGGGATTAGCACTGTTTGGGGGAAGACGTATCCTTGTACGTCACATATTTTCACGGTCCTGCGTGGTTCATGCCGACGTCCAAGCGGTCTTTGGTCCGCTGTCTGTGAGACGTTGGTATTCGGTGCCGTGCAGAGTATTCGTGAGAAATCACCACACCTGCTGCTCTTCCTGGGACCTTCCCTCCGTGAGCCGTGTTTGCTGATGGTGTTTCCAGATTTTTGGGGCGTGAGCTCCCAGGGAAAATGCCTCTGGGCCCCCGATGGCATGGCGGGTGGGGGACAGGAAGGCACTGGAGGGTCCCCCGGGTTTAGTCATCTGGGGGGGGTGCTCCATGCTCCTGCCGGGGACGAGCCTCGTGTGTGTTTGTTCCCCGCTGTCTGTCACCACGGTGGCCCGTGACCGTCCCTTCACGGAGCCAGGCCCTCAGCTTGGGTCCTGCCTGTTCAGCCCACTGTGGACGGACCACCGCCCTCCGGCTTCTCCAGAGCAGTGTCCCAGCGGCCGCCTCCACTGTCTTTTCGGGGCTCCGCGTCCGATGTCGGCAAGCGCGGTTCGTCCTGCCCGTGTCCGCGTCTGCCCCGCTGCTAGAAAGCGGGCCCGGCCGGTCACCAGCCCCCAGCTCTCGCATCCCGGGGTCCTGTCCTGTCCCCGCTCAGCAGGGCTGTTCAGAGGCCAGCTTGTTGCCGGCCGAGTTTGGTGGCTCCTGGAAGCCGCTAGCACCAGTGTGGTGCCCGCTGGGTATCTCCCCACCCGAGTTCCCCTGCCCTGACGATAGGGTGGTGGGAACTAAGCCACGCGGCAGTGCACGGTCGCAAAGCAGCGAAGGGGAGGCGTCAGCAGCGTAGACCCACCGGGCATCTCCGGGGGTGCCTAGAACGCTGCTCCCAGACCCGAACGTGCAGCGGAAGGAACACCGTCCAAATTCGGACTCCTCGCCCACACTGCCTTCATCTTCCGAGGCTTCTCCTGGTTTTCAGTGACGTGAAGGGCCAGCTGGGGATGGCAGGCCACCGCCCTCAAGCCGGGAAGCTGAACCGGGACTCAGCACCGCAGAGTCATCTGTTTTGCTCAGGCCCACCCACCCGCGCACGGGGACCGCATGACCTCATGGGTGAAATTTGGAAGTGTCCCGTGGCACTGAGCTGGGTGCGGGGCGGGTCCGTGGGTCTGGTGGCAGCTCACGCTGGCCTCACTTTGTGGCGTGTTGACTCCTGGGGGCCCGGATGGCTGAGGACTTGGGAATGTCCCACGCCCGCTGCCTCCAGGGAGCGGACCTGGGGGTCTCGGTGTGGCTCCCACGGGGGCCCAGTGGGCCATCATGGGAACGCCTCTAATTACAACTGCATCGCTCTGAGTGGGGATTTGGAAAGTCGCAGAGTCTCAGTTCTGGCCACTGTGGGGATCACTTAACTTGTTGCCCACCCGGCTTGCCGCCTCCCCCCTCCCCCAGTTCCCCAGATGTCAGGCACAGGGACAGCACCGGGAAGCCCAGGGTGGGCCCCGGCAAGCGCTTCAGAGGGAGGCGGGACATTCGGTCGGAACATCGGCCCCAAAGGGACTTCGTTCAGGAGAATCTTACAGCTGAAAATAGCTAAATTAAGGGAAAGGCTCCGGAAGGTACGGCTGAAAAGACACGGGGGCAGTGCGGGTGGGTCGTGGGAGGAGGACCTGCCTTGTGGGCAGGTGGGGTGTGCTGCCCAGAGGCCCAGAGAGCGGGGGCGGGGGGCCGAGCATTTAGGGACAGAGGACTCTCGGGGACCCGCACGCGGGGGTGTTTGTGGCTCAGAACTCGGCCCGGAGGCACGCACCCAGATGCAACCGGCCTCTTTCCAGCCACGTTTTACCACCTGGACACTTGATTTACTATTTGCTGTCTCACCTTGCTGAACGGCCCCCTTCCTGTGTGACTGTCACCTGAGAGAGAGGAGATACACTAGTAACGGGGCCTGCAGTGTGGACAGTCAATGGTCACAGCCATCTCCCACCCCCCGCTTCTGCTGACTCACGAGCAGGAGGCATCGTGTGGGGGGAGGGGCACCAATGTCCCTGCTGAACTGTCTACTGGGCTTCCTGGCTCTCTAGGGTTTCTAGACCACCTGCCCCCAACGTGCGGGGAGGGGGTAGGAGGCTGGTACACTGCCCACGGGAAGGCTGGCCGCCCCGGGGCAGGATGGTCACCCTGACAGGAGGGCCAACCTGGCAGAAGTGTCACCTAGGCAGGAGGGTCACCCTGGCTGGATGGTCACCCCAACAGGACAGTCACCCTGGCTGGAGGGTCACCCCAGTGGGAGGGCCTGGGTCTCGGTGCTGGGTGGCCACAGAGCATCGGGGGCCCCGAGGCGGGTCTCTGGTCCTGGCTCTGCTGCTCTGGGGGAGCCTGTGGGGCACGGTGCCCCCTCCACGGCTGCTCTCGTTCCTTCAGGACGCCTTCTCTAAACTCAGCAAGCGCAGATCTGAGCCGAACCGCCTCCAGGCTCGGGGACCTTCCCCTGGGTGTGTGTCCCGCTCTTCCCTCGGTGATTTTCCTTCTCCTGTTTTCTCTCTTTTCCTACCTTCGCAGATCCCTGTGAGCTCCGTAGGAAGTGTCTCGATTCTTTCTCTGTTTTTTTTAAATTATCTTCTTTTCTCATGTTTATAATTTAAGAGAGATTTCCTCGACTTTATATTCTGACCTTGTAACTGAACTTTTTATTTCACTTGTCTTTGTTTTAAAAAGATCTTTCTTGTTCTCTTAATTTTTCTTGGATTAGGAATATAATAATTTGTTACATTCTGTTTATTCTCCTTTTCTGATGACAAAATTAAAAAAAAAATCTCCCCTCTCCAGAAATGCCTGTTTTCTCTGAGCTTTTCTTTCTCTTTATGCAGTTTCTCTCGCTTTCTGTTACGTTGCTTAGCGCTTTCCTTAACCAGTCGGTCGTCCTTGGCTGTTCATTCCCATGGCCCCAGTATTGCCAGTTGAGGCCTGTCTTTGGGGCCTGCGGACGTCTGTCTGGAGGTCACAGGGGTTGCACACAGGCTGACGCGGTGGCCACAGCAGGTTGGGAGCAAGAGGCGGAGGGCCCCACGCCCCCCTCCATTCCTGCTTCCCATGCACCTGGGACCCCATCCCTTCTGCTGGGGCGAGGGGCGCACGAGGCCGGGCTCCTGGAGCCCCGCTCTCCTTACAGAGATTTCCACCTGGTGCGATTTTGGAGCCCGCCCCGAATCCCGCCGCGGGGTCCGTGGGGCCCGCGGGCCGCGTGCTCACTTCTGGTCCGTCCCCACCTTCCTGGGTCCGTGCGCCTGCGTCCACCGCCTCCACGGCTCCCGCTACTTGGTGCGAGTGACGGAGCCCTCTTCGCTTTCTGCGTTTCCGCTGTTTTTGTTTCCTGGGTTTGTAAAATGAGAGCAGGTCGTTTCAGCAGAGTTTTGAGATGGTGGAGTGACCGGGATTTTCCCTGGAGGCGGTTGCTGAAATCGAGTGCAGGGAGGACATCTGTCCGTCCGTCCGTCTGCACGCAGTGTGCTCTTCTCTTCCTTTCTGTGGGTCACAATGGCCGGGAGCCCGGCCACTCTTCCTCCTCAGTGAGGAATCCGGTGTGATGAGACCCCAGGCGAGGCCACGGGTGAGGAGGCCACAGGAGGACACCCGGCCCAGGGGACGGAGGCAAACGCTGAGTGGGTGCCCAAGACACCGCGGCCCCCAGCCCCTCACGGGGACAGAAGGAGCCCCCGAGAGGAGGCTCGGAGTGTCCCGATGGTGCAGCAGCAAGACGGGAGCCGGGATCTGACGGCCACAAGCCGCCACTCGGAGACACACAGCCCCTGTCCCCTTGTCCCCTTGTCACCTTGTCACCT